CAGCCAATCTGACACAGTCTTCGCATTGATTCTGAATCGGAGCTGATACTGTAGCCGACGCCAAATAGTTACGAAACCAGAAGACTAGTGGTAACGGCACACACACACACACACACAAACACGCACAAATCTCTGTACATCGATATTCTTTTAAACAAACATTTTATTCCTCCGAAATAAACACACAGATCCTGAGACACCGAAAATAGAGCATAATTACTAAGAAAATTGCAACAAAATTCATGTAATATTAGCACCAACGCTGGCACCGTGACGGAAAAAAGTTATATTTGATAAACAAAGAAAATTTAAATAATTCTGGAGAAAAACTTCTAGTTTCTAGAAAATGCTAAATATCAACAATGTTTTTAAATATTTAAAAATACTAGACGGAAAATGTATATTTATATATATATATATATATATAATTGATATATATTATGACGTAATCTGGCTATAATTATTAAAATAGTCAAACTTCTGATACCTCTGAAGGCACGGTTCGGAATTTAACCTTTTGAACGCCATTCTTTTCCCGCCATAAATTTGGATATGTTGACGCCTATTTTTAATTGTGAGCCACATGAACAAAATTTCACATTGGATGAAAACAATATCACAATAAGCAGTTTCACGTGATAAAGGTTGATTTTACCGTCCGTGGACCATTTGTGGGGTTCAGTGTCACGTGATTTTACTCGAGTACGTCATCAATTCCGCCATCTTGTTTATCGTGTTTCGTAGCTAGTTGCGACTCGTTCAAAAATAGATCTTTTGAAACGCCACAATTGCAAAGCGCGCGTTCGAATCGCGTGTAAACAATGTATTTTAAATGCTTAAATACTTAACATGGGTTATATATCAAACAAGACGCGGAACAACGACTGGACGATTTAAATTGGGGGAATTGTTTGGTGAAAATGTGTACGAACAGGATTAAAGACATCGGACAAGCTTACAAATTGCCAAAATATTACGCGCGCTAGAAACCCACAAATGGTCTATTGAATGTCGTAGTCGTGTGTTCATTGGATAACATTTTTCTCCAAAGGCCATTAATTTTAAAAAGTAATAAGGTTGGTTAAATTCTTCTCGGGAACGGACCATTTATTCTGTCAGTGGTATGTATTCATTCGCGTACCAGAATATAGTTCCGTTGGAACAGCTTGCCTTTCCCGTGTATCATTTCATATCCATTGCTTGTCTCCGCATATGTCGGTCGGGTCTACAGCTAACCTCGCTCAAGCCATCCACAGTGACAAAAATGTTTAGCCCATAACAAAGTAGTACAACACGCCATTTTACAATACCACAATCCTTTGCGATTGCCGGGTAATACCAGCGACACTTCGCCGTTGTAATTCGGTTATCAATTATCGCGAAAGCTCAGCTCGTGAACAAACGACGATGAACGATTCAGATTTTTACCGAGCGTGCGCAGAATTGTATGTTTATAAAAATGGCTCGTTCTGGGCTGAAACGAATAACGTGAGTGGACTCGGTAGGTGAATGAACCGAGAAGACGAGGTGCCTGGTGATACACTGGTCGTGTTCATTGACTCAAGTCACTTTTACGTGTTTCGATCATGAAGACAGTTAAATTTAATGGTCTCCCGTAAATTGTATGTAGCACAGCCCGCCATAATCGCAGAATACTTCCACAGCTACAGCCGGCCGACCTGGCACTATTTTTATCGCTCGCATCTTTCAAAATTCGAGGAATCACACTTCAGATACGGGTTTGTTTGATATGGTGGGTTACTTGGTTCGAATGATGTGAATGACGAAAACAAGCAGGATACGTGGTATTTCACACTGGGAATAAACCAACTGATCATATCAGTAACGACCAGTGTGGTCCGACGTAGCAAAATGTGGGTTGACTGTGATTTGATGCAACAGACGACGTTCCGTCTGACACGTAGTTTTTCCAACGTAACCCAAATTTGTTTATCATCTGAGATTTTGGGGGTTACAAAATAATTTTTTCTGTTGTATTCAAATCAGTCTTGTTCTACCTTCAAATTGAGAACAATGTCTTCTTCTAACGAATCTTCCTTCATTGCCACGGCAACAACTGTTGTCTCACTCAATTTATCTTCACTGTCCTTCTCATCTTCCTCGTTGTTGTCTTGGTTACTGTTTTCACCGTCATCTTTCTTACTTTCTTTCTTATATTTCATTCTCCTGTTCTGGAACCATATTTTGATCTGTCTTTCAGTGAGCCCCAGAAGGTGAGAAAGTTCGATTCGCCTCCGTCTCGTCAGGTATCGATTGTAATGGAACTCCTTCTCCAGTTCCAAAGTTTGGTATCGGGTGTACGTTTGGCGGCATCGTTTTTTGGGAACTTCCGGTGCACCTGTAGAGGAAACAAGGCCATAGGTCAATAGGTCAATAGGTCACAATGCAGTGGGTGCACGTTTTCATTCTAATCACACACACTAATAATATACAGTACGTGCGCTAAGCTATAGTTTAAAAGTTGTAGTGACACAATTTTTTGTTCGCCTAAAATATTTGTGCGTTACTGCGCAAATTTGTAAAGCTCACAGGTCCTGACTAAATATATATGTTTGTTTAATATTAATAGATATATCGTAACATAAACGTTGATAATAGGTATAACGTAACATAAACGTTGGTAATAGGTATATCGTAACATAAACGTTGGTAATAGGTATCTCGTAATATAAACGTTAGTAATAGGTATAACGTAACATAAACGTTGATAATAGATATATCGTAACATAAACGTTGGTAATAGGTATGTCGTAACATAAACGTTTATAATAGGTATATCGTAACATAAACGTTGATAATAGGTATCTCGTAATATAAGCGTTAGTAATAGGTATAACGTAATATAAACGTTGGTAATAGGTAAAACGTAACAAACGTTGATAATAGGTCTATCGTAACATAAAAGTTAGTAATAGGTATATCGTAACATAAACGTTGAAATAGGTATATCGTAACATAAACGTTGATAATAGGTATAACGTAACATAAACGTTGGTAATAGGTATATCGTAACATAAACGTTGAAATAGGTATATCGTAACATAAACGTTGATAATAGGTA